TATCATTACCAATATAAGTTTTAATAGCAAGTATTCATAACTCACAAAGTTTTTCTACAATCTGTATATATATATCTGTATATATCTCAAACTTTAATCTTTCATAGTACTATATCATAATTAAACCACCGAGATATGCTTACCTCGTATAAGTAGTGATCAGTATTCAAAAAAAAAAACAACTTTTTAGACTCTCGCTGAACTTTTAATAGAATTACTGAACTTTTATTTCAAATAATATTCTTACAATAAATAGAAATTCAAAATTTCAACATGATATCTCGAAACTATATTTAAATTTAATACGCATGTACAGAAAAATTATTTTTAACCCAAATTTTTGTTCTGGATTTATAGGAATAGTGGTCAAAATTGTAGAGATTTTTAAAAAAATTTATAGATATAATGCTGAAATTTAGAGCTGAAGGTGTATTGTTTTTGGATGTTAAAGGTATTTATAAAGTTAGCGAATTCATAAAATAATTACTTTATTTTACTACTTTATTCAATTATTCAATAGAAACGAGTTCGAAAAAAACAAATATTATGTATAATTGAATGAAGAGTTCATGCAATTAATGCACAGGAGGTAGGTGGGCATTTTGGGAAACCTTTTGTACTTGTTTTCTTTAAAGCTGCTGGCACATTTTATATATAATAGATATATTCTTACTGAGATAAGAAGACAAATTCCGTATTTATTTTACTATATCTGTAAGCTACAATGCAAAACTGCTTAGCTTTTAAGCTAATTCTATGAAACTTATATAAATTTATATATGTCATTTAACATCAGCAAGAAGGAATCGTTCGATACACGTTTAGACTATATTTTTTTTGACAATCCCGAATAACTATCACTTAGGGCGGCCTTATAAATAAATTGTTTTCACAATTCACGTATCATTGTCACTTTCGCTACGTAGAGTACTAGGAGGGGAGACTTCTAATAATAAGAACTCTTGGAAAACGCAGTAAATCTTTTATAAAGTCTTTGTGGAACCTATTGCAGATTCACGATTTACCATAACTTTATCTACACTATATTCAGTTAACAGTTATTTCTTCCATAATAATACAATTGGTAATAAAGCTGTGTAGTTTTACAGAATAATTGATAAAAACAGATCCAGACGTTGAAGTCGTACGGTTAAAACTCTCAAGCAAAAAGCTTAAAGGTTGTATTAAAAATATGTTTGATTTGATTTCATAATAACTACTAAAGAATGAACTTAAATTAAAAACAATAATAAAATGTATCACCTAAGATACAAAAAGAATTAAGTTTAAATATACCAAATATTATATACAAGTAGGTTTTGTAAGGAAATAGTTAATTACAAAATACATGTACATAATAAATATATTATGAATATTTTACATAACATAATATTTACATAACATTTATAATGTATTTTTCTTTATTATGTATTCTTTTTACGACTTCCATACTCTCATTAAATCTTTATGAAATTTGATACACAACTTAAATAATAAAAAACAAACTATGAAAGTTCATTAAAAGATGCTTTTTATATATAACCAAACTCTATACAGGATATTAACATTGAAATATTATATGTAGGAGTAAGGAGTACGGAGTATTCAGCTCCGTAAGGGTCTGAATACTATAAGGCTGTTCTCCATATTAGCAAAATGAAGAACATTGTCTGGGACAAATGACAGGATGATATTAGTGAACTGAAAGAACTAGCAAATATAAAATAGAGATGAAACCTTGTTATTAAAAGCCTATTCTTAATATAGTGAATAGCCTATGTCGATAAATGGATAACTTTACTTCCTCTTATTAGATGGAGAGAGATGAGCACTTGTAAGCAGACTAAACTCATGATGCCGAAACCGTTGGTCAGGGAAGCGATAAAAGTGCTTAGCTATCCGCGGAGCACCCTAAGCTGGCTAACCTCACTAATTACTGGACATGGAAATTTCAAGTATCACCTCAAAAGAATAACTCTTGCTGACAAAGACACTTGCAGACTATAGACTAGAAGAAACAATGCCCAGCATTAGCAAGTAGAAGGAAGGCTGTCTTGGGACACCATTGGGTTGGTGATGACTTGACAGGCAACTTCAAACAAAATGAGGTGCTTGCATTAACAACAGATGTAATTATGCGAACAGAACCCACTTCAACTTTAACTCGACAATGACATCCGAGAATCGAAGGACGAAAAAGGACCTAAGTAATTTCGTGGTCTATTTCGGCTAATCCTTCACTTCAGTGGGGTCACGTGTTGGACGGTGCGCTGCCCCAATTTCCCACAATATATAAAAAATATAATGTATAGACCGTTTGGAATCCTAGACGCTGAACAATCTTATTAATCTATTTCAGGTTTCAGAAGTTAGTTAAAAGATAATAAAATGAAAAGTAAATCTGTAATAACAAATAATATAGATTATGAATACATATTTTGATTCAATTAAAACAATCAACACATGTTGAACTGTAAATACCTTGAATTTATTTCTATTTATGTGACCAACTTGAACCGTCCTTGAATTTTATTTTTCATCTTTATCATGACACTGAAGATCACTCACTCAATTATTTATTAGCTATGTGAGTACAAAAATAAAACGACAATCCCCCACTCCACTGCAGGCTAAATCACATTTATCTTTCACCTAATTAAAACACACCTTACCATTTGCAAGTTATATATTGTACGTATTGTATCTACATACGTACAGATACAAAGCAAATCCACATGTAGCGGAATTTTTCTTGTTCTTGTACTGAAATCTTTGCCTACGTCGAAATTGTAGATACTTTTCTTTAATTTTTCTTTATTTAATGACGTTTTCTATTTTTTAATATGATGCGTCATTTGGCAATTTAGTGTTTTATCTGTAAGCACCTTCCCTCACATATTACTAACTCAAAATGCTACAAAATTCATTGTTTAACAAAATTGTAAATATTTTTTTTGTAATGTAGATGAAAGTTTTGAAAAATAAATTGAATTTTTATATATTGTAATGAAATAAATAAATAAAAGGCAGCAAATATTTTAATAAAATTTCTCATTAATGCAATTATATATTTATAGATTAGTTAATTGCTACAAATCAACCACAAGAGAGTCATGCAAATATTAAAAATATTTAAAAAAATAAAAAAATATTTATTTAACAAAATTAAATAAATTATTTTTCGTTTATTTGCCATTTATACAATAATCTTGCAAATTATTTTATATATAACCATTTAATAAGTTTAAAATAAAAATTCCATTAGCGAAATTCGCAAAAACTTTGCATACTTATAGGCAGTGTTAAAAAACTGATGTATAAATATTATTATAAATTATTATAAATTATTATAAATATTATTAGATATTAAACCAAAAAGTTTCACTTCGAATAGAATATATACGGGATATTGGCTTTAGGTGAAGCGGACCACTATGACCATGGCTTATCTTTTATGCTACTAATCGATCCTTACTGAATAAAAGACACTCCGCCCTTCGCATGATAGCCAAAATATTAGCTTTTAAGGACGTCATAATATCACTCAGTGTTAGCAACTCCCAGTCTAGTAATCTTCTGACCGAAATCAAAGTTAGACAGTCAGAAAGGAATAGTTTTATTATGATATCTCAGCTTTTAAGTACGCTAGCTGCTTTAAACCTGGGTATCAGTAATATATTGTTTGCCATTAATGCAATAATTATTTTGAATAAACAGAGGTATATGTCTCTTATAAGTACACTAAATATTTGCTAACATTGGCAATAAGTTTATTGTGTACAATGTGATGATATTAGACATTAAATTTAGGAATAGATAATTTAAAGTGGATATTTCCCTGTACGAGAATATAAGACAGTACGACGGTCACTATTTATATTCTGAGCCAAATAATAAAAAAATACTAACTTGTTAAAATTGATTTATTCTTTCTCAAGGTATTCTTCTTTATGATTAATACACTTTTGTGTACCAGTTGTTCGAACCAGTTGTCAAAGCATTTTTTCCAATCTTCTTCAGACACCTCCGAAACATGGTTTTTAAATGCAACAACGGCTTTTGGTTCTTCCGCCGACAAAATTCGTTGTCCACTCAATTTATTCTGCACATTCGGGAACAAGAAAAAGTCATTGGGTGACAAATCAGGACTGTACAGCGGATTACCCATTAATTCGATTTTTTGAATGTTCAAATAATGGATTGTTAGACGAGATGTGTGAGCACTCGCATTGTCTAAATAGAGAATGATCCGACGGTGCTTGTTTGTTTTTTGTACTTCACTGAAAACTTCCGGAAAACAAATGGTTGTATTCCATTCGGAATTGATCTTTTACGTTTCTGTAATGGTATACTTGTAATTGCCACATAATTTTTCCGAAAAAACAAACGACGGTTTGTTTCGAAATGCTTCGAGCGCAAACAACTTTTGTTGGATTTGGTTCATCTTGAAACATACATACAGTCGATTCTGTTTACGTTCCGGCTTATACGCATATATCAATGATTCAAAATATGAATAGTGACCCTCGTAACTAAGTATATAACCAACAGCCTTTTCTAAAATTTCTTGAGGCCAGCAACTTATCATAAAAAGTGTTACAAAACTTATTAACGTGAAAAATTTAACATAATTATAAGAGATTACAAAATTTCATAAATTAATAAATAGATATATAAGAATAAGAATAATAATCCATAGATAATCTAATAATCGATAGATATTGTATATTTATAACATAAACACGAAAAAATTTTCTTTATTCATTATCGATCTAATTTCTTTTGGGAATAATATTATTTATGATATATACTCAACACATAAAACGTCTGGTTTCAACATAGCATAAAGCTTAATGAAGTTTCAACTTCATTATGACGATGATTACAAATAAAATTGGGCTTACTCTTATTGAAATTGTGTATATATCTGTATATTATCATTCAGATAGATTTCTTTCATAGAACTCATTAAATCAATATCTATTTCAATTGCTTCTTACTTGATTTACTATAGCCGCTTGCTCCTCAGCTACATCTTGTTGGTGATCTCGTGTCGGCATTGGACTAAAACGTGCAGCATCATTTGGTACAAAACCACCAGACTGATTTAATTTGGGGAATACTGTGTGTGGAAGTGAATCCACTGGCAGTTGCAAAGCACGTTCATATTGTCCGGGTCCTGGTAAAAATGGTGAAGGACCTCTACAATAAAAGTAACTTTTTAAATAAAAATCAACATTTTAAGATACATTAAACAGACCTATGGGGTGCGTTTAGACTTGCATTCAACAATTCCGGGCTAGTCGATGGCAAACTGGTGGAATTACAGCGTGATGAATCTGGATTGTTTAAGCCTTGTGTATATGCGATTTTGTTATCTCTGTGTACCACAATCCTAATTTCATTACCAGCGTTCCGAAACAGATACTGAGCATCTGCATGACTTAGATCTCGGGCGTCGTATTCATTTATTTTTGAAATGACATCGCCACGCAAGACTTCACCGTGTGCTGGACTACCAACCTGCACCTGTGAAAACAAAACGTCATTTTTTTAATAAAATTTCAAAATACATTTTTCTTTGCAATTTATTTTTATTTCTACGCATTGCACAGATATACTTTGCAAACCTTGTGTATGTGCCAAGTAGCACAACTGTAAAGGGCAATTTTAATTTTAAATTAAAATAAAATTTTAATTTATGTTAATGTCAAAAATAATTTTATTTTATTATAAATTCATTTGCTGAAACAGAGCACTTTTGACTAAATTGCGATTTATTGATTCACACAATTTATTGTTCGGGAATTTTTATTTATTATTTACAAATATTTTAAATTATGATTGGCATTTTAATATATATATATACAATATTACATTATTTTTTAAATGTATCTAAATATTTCTAAACATGTATCTCAATTATTTATAAAATACAGAGTTGTTATTTTCAGTGCTTTTGTTTTTAACTTACACTGAAAGTAAAAACATATGGATGCACAACGATCATATGGTGGCAACCCTAACAAAATTAACCTCAAAAGTCAGATACGTAGAAAACAAAAAGTACACATCCCAAACGTGATGTTCAATGACGTGATTCTAGTACACGTATAAAACTTTTTACTGAAACTCCATTGTCCATTCCCATCTGAATGAATTGACGAATTAATTACTTGTTTCTGTAGATATTTAGGTGAAGAGTCCATTATAGTTCGACATAATACTCGTAATTCTTTAAATTACAAAATCAATTTAAATCTAATAACTATCTTGGACACAAGGTTGCCACTCCAACCTAACCAAATCAGACCTAATAACTAAGATATGAAAAATTTGTGATATACCACACACACTTCATGGATTCAAATATATGTAAGTATAATTTTTTCTCTTCATCTCGACTTATGTACTTTCGAAATCAAAATTTAAATGAAAAATTTGCAAAATGTACCTATGTATAACGCTCTATTCGTTTAGATCAATCAGGATAATAAAAACCATCAATTGTTCTCACTAAAAGAATAAATGTTCGAGTAGTGGCTAATTAATATTGTGTCAGAAAGTTCAACATATACTCGTACTGAATTTATCTCTATATATCCATTACAGATATATAAATAATATAATATGAGTATTTACTTACGCATTAGTAGTAATAACTACTAAATTTCTACGCTAAGACAATGGAAATTAAGTTTACAAAACTCTAAATAATTTATGTTAATACATTAATTATAATTTTTACAGACTTTTATTATTTTATGAAATAACATAGTTTACTATTTATGATCGTGTGTAATTTAAATAGTAGGAAGTATATAAATATCTGCCATTACCAGTTGAAAAATATGATATAAAACCATCTAATATTTTCAAATTAATTATAATATATATCCCTATTTTTAAAAAATTATCTTGGTGACTTTATTCACTAAGAGTAGTAGTAATAAATTAATTAATTTAATAAAATTTTATGCATTTTAATTTGTTTTAAAGAAGCAAATATATATGACTTAATAATAACTTTAAAACTAACTACCAAGCCACGTACCACGCACAGTACTTCCAATATTTGGACAGTACAAAATATTTTCGGTATTCGAACTCTGTGGTGTTAAACGAATATCCCAACTATTTACTCATATCGGGATATCCAGACTTTCTGAAGAGTTCAAAATATCTGTATATGAATAATCATATTTATTTTATATTTATTTATAATTACATCTGCCTTACAGGAAATGGTAATAAATAATTGAAAGAATATTAGTATACAAGGATAATAAGTAATATCAAATCAATATTTAATAAATACAATTTTTTCAGTGCGTAATTTAAGAAACATATGTAACAATTTTTACATTAAAACATAATATTTAGCAAGTCTGTTGGGAATGAGCGTTTGAGTCTTCTAGTGTAAGCTGATTCTTTCGTCGGTAATATCTGGAGTTCCGAGTTTTCATGTGTAAGTAGTCGTTATAGAAATAGATTCTGAATGAGTGAGTGCTTATATCTAAAAGTAAGTCCTTACACCTACAAGGTCACGACATAGAAAAGCGATGTGCAATTTAATTGCTGAACTATTAATGCTGTGAAAATCAAGCTTTCCGCCACTTATTCCCAATACTTTCAATTAACCTACTCGTAGTGGTGTTGCTAATCCTGAATAGAGAGTAAATATCCCTCTCTATTCTCTGACAAATTTTGTGGAAAAGAAGGAAACAAAAAACGTGAGGTTACAGAAGTAGTGGAGTTCCTAATCCTGAATAGAGAGTAAATACCTCTCTTTTGTGGAAAAGAAGGAAACAAAAAATGTGAGGTCACAGAAGTTAGTCTGAAGAATGGTGATCTTATATTAATTATAATATATATTGCTGCATATCTAGCAGTTAAGCCTTGGATAAACATGGTTAATGGTAAATATGCCAAATTTATGGCCATAATGGTGATTATACCTGCAATGTATCACAGATGTAGTAGTTATTTGTATTTTATGTATAAATTTGTTATTGTAACAAGTCAATGGGTCTTTAAGTGAATTCAAAATTAAATTTTAGAAAACTTATAGGGAATATGAAATAAATTAAATGGATAAAAACGTGCAAAGGAAATTGTAACCTGAGCCGCTTGATGAATATCTCTAGTACAAATATGACTCCACTAATAACTAATAAATTTATATCTAAAGTCAAACATATTTAAACACAATTTAAAAGCAAAATTATGGATTTGAAAATGTGTACTAAAAATTTTTAACTAACAAAGTGTATTAATTAACAAAAATCACTGATCACTGAGTACGATTGTTAGAAGATCCTTACATATATATAGAAGGCTCTATGCTTATATCCTTTAAAATTATACAAAAATTAAAGTATATGTATATATAGGTGACAGTATAGGTGATATCGCAATTGATGATATTTAGCTATTCGCATTGTAAATTCTGTATATAAAAATATGTTTTAAAAATATTTACTTCTTCGCATTTAGTTGCAATGTCAACAAAATGCATAATAGAAAATGCACTGCAATACACTAACAAAAACAAAGCATTTTATTTGAAATTATTTCAAATAATTAAGATACTTTTTTCACCCAACTATTGGCAACTCGCTCAATTAACTAAATTCTTTTGCATTCTCGTCCTTTCTTTATGCATGAAATGTTTAAGACACACTAAGTGTTAAGTATAATTATATAATCGAACCACAATAATGCACAATATTAAAGAAAATACTTTTTCACTGATTTATTAATAATAATTGGTGTAAATAATTCACTTAGGTAACCTACCCTTGTAATGATTAGTGGTGTATCCAAATCATTACCACCCACAAGACGTATTCCCCAAGGTGTATTCTGGCCGTCACGCTGTAACACAACTACGAATTCATGGAGTTTCGGACTCATGCCTAATCAATCCAAGGCCCACGTACCACGACAACGGTTTTCACAATAATTAAAAATATTTTTCCCACTTAATTTTTTTTTAATTCTTAACACTTAACACTTAATTTTAATTTTAATTTAATTTTTCGTAATTTTAATTAAATTTCTGTGATTTTTTTCATTCAAATTAATCCACACAATCGCGTTCTTGAATTACTGCAGTACCCTTGACAGATTCAGAGAGCTCTATATATTCTGTGGTATGCCCGATTTGCAGTTTGTAATTTAATTATTGTAAAATATCTAATACGTTTAGCGTTTTGATCGTACTGAAAGCTGCTCAAGTACTAAAATTAAATGCAAGAAAACATTTTAACTTTCGGTTCATTCAAAGAAAAACAAAATGTTCTTGTTTAAATGTTCTTCGGCTTCCTTTCTTCTGTTGCAGATTTTCTCATTTTTTGCGTTTTTTTAATGTATCTCAGTATACTTTTTTCAGCGATTTTTGGTTTGAATTTAGTTTACAAAAAATCTGTTTTTTTTTTGCATTTAAATTTGCTAGTTAAAAATTAATCGAGAAATTGTATTTATGCTCGCTATTACGTCTACGTATTGTGTCTTACTCTATCTTCTATCTGTATCTTATTGTATCTTGGGGATGTAGTCATCTGCGTAGTTCCTGTGTAGTTTCCTCGTCAAACTCATGTACAGTATAAAATGCGGTCAAGTTGCGGTGTAGTCATCGACTCCTGTGTAAATCCCCATTCAAATGGATGTACAAAATTAAAAGCGGTCAGGTTAAGATGTAGTCATCGATTCTGTTAAATGTAGTACGTCCCCCGTTAAATGCATGTACATAAGTATATGCAAACATTAACTTACTATGTTCATGTTTTTTTATTTAATAATTTCATTTTATAATTATTTCATTTCAACAAATCCAAATTCTCAGACATTTAAGCTAACGGGAAACGACGGAACGTAAAGACTTTCCAACGCACTATTAGTACAACGCGAACCATAAAATTATTACAGCCTCAATTCTAAAATAATAAACTTTTACATTTTATTGCATTTGCTCATAAATCCGAAGGCATTAGAAAGATTTATTTTCTTTTCATTCGAATCAACCACTTGAAGAAAATGCTTACATTTTGAAAACAAATTTGATATTTTCGTACATTTGGAAAATCATTAAAAGCATTCGCAATGCTTCATTAAAATCGTCAAGGTTGTAATTTGTGAAATCAAAATTTCTAGTCCATTTGTGATAAAATACAATTTTTGTAATATTTTATTCCGTTTATAAAACCGTATATAACCCCATTATCGTCAATCCAATATTTGTACTCATATCTCTGCTGTCGACAATACTTCAGCACCATTCAACTACTTAGCACTACCAACAACAGATACTTAACACAGTGTTATGTATTTAATATTGATCCTCACGAAAGCACTTTTCCATTGTAGTGCCTTTTAAGAAGAAATAATAGCAATTTACTACATAGCAAAATGGGTCCTGTATAATAAGGTACGGAATGTAAATATCGTTTTATCCTCGCATATGAAAAATGCTATCAAATCTCTGACAAGTACTACACCAGTACCTTTAATATTTCGAGAATGCCGAGTTTCTCTTAATGAGTTAGGTAGGTGTAGTCTTAGGTAACTACACAAAACAAGACAAGTAATCTTATTTCTGACATTCATTTCTCTGATATTCGAATCCTAATATTGGAATCGTGCCTGACTAAGCAAATTGCTCATTTCTCTTATAAAAATAAAGGAGAACCAGAATAAAAAAGATTATTGGGATAATATACCAGGATTAACACAATCCAAATCACTTATTGGTACCTATAAAAGTAAGAGAACCAGGATTGTATGAACCTATCAAAAGAAAAACTTGAAATCATCACAGTGATCCTAACAGGGCACTGTAAACTAAAATACCACCTTTCTAGACTAATTATACTTACGGATGCAAACTGTCACACATTTGCTGTCAGAATGTCCTGCGCTAATGCACAAACGGAGTAGGCTCCTGTGGAATGTATATTCTTAGGAAAGAGGCAATAAAACTCTGTAAAGTAGTTTCTATACTACTTTTTATTGAAGCAACAGGGCTTAGAGATCTACTCTAAACCCAGAAGGGGACACAATAGACCCGACGGTCGTAGTGCCAGATACCCTAACCATAATAATAATAATCAAATTGCTTATTTATTGCATTTTCATTGCTTATTTTGTGTCAGCAGCTCCGACTGGCATCCCTGATTAGAGATAAGGTCTAATTAAGAAGTTATTTTTCATTCACATCCCTCTTCGAAAATCTATTTTTATATAATCACATCCTGGTGCGAATATCTTTATAGCAACTGTTCTATATTTTATTGAAGTATTTGAGACCCTATTCAAGTTCAGATATATTAACCCAAAAATATATTTTTAAAATACACTAAAATAAACAGGAAAACCAAATAAAAAACACTCACAAAATATAAACAATTTAATTGAAATGTTCTATTTTTAATTGCTTTATGTGTACTGATTTCATTAGAAATCTGTATAAATTTAAAAATCTTAAAAAATCTTTGATTACAGTGCTTAAAATCTAATTTTATTGATTTGCTAGTATCAGGCAGGCACTAGCCACTGTGCCACTGGATCACTTTGAACGTTGCGTCTTGACGACGTCAGCTATTTGACAGACTACATTTAGCAGTCAGTGGCTAATTTAACAATTTTAACAATTTTTTATTTTATTTTATATTATTTGGTTTTGATATTAAATTCTAAAAATACAAAAACAAATTATTTAATTGTGCCAACTGAGCTCTCTCACTCAGTTGAATCCATTTTGCATAGAAATATCTATCTACGAATCTACGAATCTATATAGAATTGAATATTCTACAACACTGACTAACTTGTGTAGGAATAAGTGTTTTTTTTGTTGTTTTTATTTTATATGTTTTTATTTTATATATTTTTATTTTTTGCATTTAATTTATTTACTTTAGTATTAAAATTGTTTTGTTTATTTAACATAACCTCTTCTAATTTTTCGAATTTTTCTCATTTTAATCATTGCCAAAGGCACATTTGTAATTTGGATTACGTCTTCCTTTTGGTGTCTCGGATCTCACACTTTCGCTTCTCAGCTGCCAAAATTAAAAAATTACGTTTCTGCCATAAAATGCCTTAAAAGAAATATTTATCGAACAATATTTTAAATAATGAACTCAAGTAAATGAATGCATATGGACCGACCGCTTAACAGTGAAGGCACAAATTATATTTCAAATGTTTTCAAGTATTTTCTGAAATCCTTTAAATTTTTTACGTTGGTTGAAAACATTTGTACTATCTCAATTTTTTCCAATAAACCCACTGATTATATAGCAATTAGTTAGGCGTTCTATTTAAAAAACATGTGAGTTAATTTTTAATCAATTTACATGCACACAAGATATTATATACGGGAGTTTTTAAGAGAAAGAATTAGGAATACATAGAATGGTTGAACTGAGGCCCCTATGCACTGCGATCAGCTTGATCTATTGTGCACTCCTCTGTATTTAAATATTTAGTATCTTGAAGAATCAAACCAGCTCCTTTGGAAGGAGCTTTCGAAGGTCTAGTCAGTATGCACCTAAAATTTTGTTTCTTCTGTGTTTCTTCTGTGTTCTTCTGTTTCTTTCTAGTGCATGACAGTTGATGATCAGATGTTCCATAGAGTCTTCCTCATCACAGCAGAAAGAATACATAGTAACATAAGCGTAATTTAATATTGAACTACTGAACTACTAGAAAAATTTGAAAACCAAATCCCTAAAATGACAGAAAAAGTTACGAAACTCAGTTACGAAGCACTCTTTGGTGATAAAAGCCAAATAAACAGAAAATATGTAAGTAAAATTATAATTTTTTACATCTTTTACATATTATCACCGATGATACACAAACAATACTCTTAAGACATGTGAAGAAGAAAGGAAGTTTATGGTAAAGAACCATATAGAAAATGATAGACCTATTTATAATAATAATGTAAAACGAGGAATAACAAAATAATATGATCACATTACGTGTAGTCTCCTTCTCCTTTGCTTGATGATATGAGAGTTAGTTCAATCATAATTAAATTATGACTATGAATTATTCAGGTGATTTTACAGAAGATTCATTCAAAACCCAGCATATATTCCTCGCAAAGTATATTGTATATTGCATTTGTTTCAAGATAGTGCAATTCTGAATTAATATGAGCATCCACATACATACAACTGTCTTTGATGTACTTTTGCGCAGTCTCGACATTTAACTATGGTAGAATACAGTTCAAACAATTATAAAAGATTCAGCGATACACCTAATTTTTATTCTCTAATTATTTAACCATACATTCATTGAATATTTAGTTACAAGTTTTACCAATAATCTACACTCATACACGGTTATTTCTGTTCATATTATTCGGACTTTTTAAAAACCGAAATTCTACGATTATGCGATTAATCGGATTTCAATGAAGTCTACGGAGTTGAAAATAAAATCGGTTTTTTTATAAATCTGAAGTCTTCGAAAAAATATAAAGTCCTCTTAACGATTATAAACATTGCTGTAAGTCTGAGAAGGAACACATGAAAAATCCTACATGGCATATATATGAACTACGATCTAACTTTCTCAAGTATCGATCCAATATCAAAATGACGTTATTTAAGATATTGCCTTTTTTATTAAAATAACACAGTGGTTTCTCATACTAAAACAAGAATCCCTTTACATAAAGTTTTTTTTAACTATGGTCGTGCAATAAGTCTAATTCTTAGAGTTTAAATGATTCGAATTATCTTTATTACTGTTACGGTACCATAAAAATTCTAATTTCTTATCATGCCTGTCTTGCTGTATGGTGCAGAAGCTTGGACAATTCCCAACAGTGATGAGAAGGCGTTATGGGGAATGCGCAGTTTCTCTGCATGAATTCCTACTCACCAATGACCAGTAAGAACTGCAGTAAGCCTTGCAGTGTTCACGCGGTCCCTTTTGATGAGTTCCAAGGATTTATTTTTATTATAGGTGGCCCATGTTAACCTGGAAGTCGCACATGACCTAATGCTTTCCATCTGTTATTGGCAAGTTTTGAAGAAGCTGAGTTTATATAATAAAAATTTCTTTTATGAGTACCGCAAAAGGAGCAAATTATATGTATTTTGGATTTCATCATTGCATAAATATAAGATTAAAAAAAGAGCTCCATTTTACATTTCAACTTTATTAATGAAATTAACATAAAAGAGAAAAAACTTTTCGGAAATAAATATAAAAATATTTCTATTCGAATATAATGCATATTTAATCTAAAATGAACAGCAACAAAAAATAAAGTTTTCTGAATCAATAAATAATATGCGTCATTTTGGAAGATATTTATTTGTATCTGCAATAAAATTTATTAGTGGAACTTTTTAATTAAGCATCGAAAAGAAAATTTACGTGGTTTCATATTTGAGATTATAGATTTAAAATAATATCAGAAAAGCATTAAGATACCAAATATCATTTTGTCAATGCTAAGTGTCAACAAAACTTAAAATTATTGCAATAATTAATGCCAGAAAACAAAAATTAATTAGATTTTGACAAATTTATAGACGTACCGCATTAATAGGCCTCACAAAATTGAGAACACGAATAAATAACGCAAATATATCAAATTTATATAAAGAAAAGATAAATGCATTGCTAATGACGTACACTTGCTCTGTTATAAAAAGCAACTGATGTGCATTTTCTCAATCATTGCCTTCAAACGTGTTCGGACTTACCTCGACAGGATCATCCATGAAATGTACTTTTTTCTTAATACCGCTGTTTCTTCTTTTTGAATTGCCATTTTGAATCAGATTTGTACAAGCTGGCCTTTCACTTGTTGCCTCATAGGATGGCATTTTCCAGAAAGCTGGTCTGTGATATGCAGTATTCATGCTGCCTCTCTGTTTGATTAGAATTCAGACAAAAGTCGAACAAACACACAAATCCACAACAAACCCAAACATAATAAAACACAAAACAACCGTCTCAAATATTTTTGTTTAAATAATTAAAATATATTTCATGAATTTTATTTATTTTGTTGCTTTCAGTTGTTGCTTCAGTTTTTCGATCGCACACTAGTTCTATAATATCATACACATCATAATTTTTCGCTGAACGGCGGTGGACTGAGTTGGCATATGTTGGCCAACTGACTTGAAGGCGGCACAACGCTCGGTAGAGCACCTGCTTGGTCCACATTATGAATATTCTGTTTTGTGCGAATTCGAGCGAAATGTACAAATATAAAAACGTTGTTTAATTTATTCAATTGTTGTTTATTTTGTTTCATGTAATCTGTTGCATGAACAGTTCCCTTTGTAATTTCATTTTGCCTAACAGTAATCTTGAATTCCATCTAAACCATACGCTCTATGCATTCTTTTGGATTGGCAATGGCTGGTTTTTTCTTTCATTATCATTACCAAGTGCTTCGACTATTAAGATTTATAGAAACATATGCCTTACTCAGTACTGAATTGATTTAAATATATGTGGATGAAGGGCAACATGACGAATGAGTTATATTCAAACACTGATTTAGTGATTGATTGATTATAGAAATGTAATATCAGACCTTAACTGATGAAAAGTAATTACATCTTTCATTTAATGTTTATTTTATTTTACTGAATATATATTATATGAGTAATAACAATTAATGATATTCAAATAACTAAAATCATTGGAACGGACTTACTTCATAATACATTATTATTGAGATGTACTATATAGTATCCCTTTACTTTCAGAAAAAGTGTCAGCACCTAAACATGTTATATGTTAAACAGCAATATTAATTATAATTAGAATAATAATTTAAATGTATTTTTGCTTCTAATAAACCACAGAAAATTTACAGTCCTCTTTTTCATTACTCACTTGTCTTATAGTGTTTTTTGATCACATCTATTTAAACTACTTGTATATATAATAAATAATGCAATTTAAGATTTGCTTTGTTATAACAAAAATATTGTAAAAATGTAAGTCACACAGATAACAACTAACTAAAGTTACTAACTATAACCCTAAATAATATAAAGCGAATGAATATAGTTCTATTTAAACTATATTCAATTTTTATCATATCTAGCCCATTGGACTGTATATTAAAATGAACGGCCAACATATCTCTCCACAACTGTTCAAAGTTGTCGACAACTTTGTGTATATGGTAATAACAAGTTTTAAATGAGAATATATTATCACAATTATCGCAAATATAACAAAAATGAATCACTCACATTTTGCAATACTTTACTTGCATCTTATATTTAGATAAAATAGCTGACAATACCACGAACACAAATTAAGATCGCATAGATGAACTAACAGATTATTTCTAAAGTAGAAAATTTTAATTAATCAGAACAAAATAAAAGCGGTTTTTATAATTAAATGATAACAATTATATAGAAAAGAAATGGGTTATGGAATAACTAAGCCTAATTCTTGATAAAAACTTTACGTAAAAAGGAGCACATAGGGAACAAAAAGGCTATATATGTTTAAATAATTTGTAGTATATAATTGCGCGGTTTATAGCCAAACAGCAAAGTATATAAACAAACAACTAGACTCTTTATAGACGATTATGCTGAAGGATATTCTAAAAGCTTCATTGTATATCAGATAGGTAGACTCCATCGAAAAATTTATGAAAGACAACGTATTTAAACTATTCAACCACGTTTTCCACACTAAAAACGATGAGTAAACCTATATCAGATATCCGTACGGTAACATATGAGTACCAAACTTTGTCTTTTGTAACTGTGACCACTGAAATTTAACTACAATACTAACATCCACTCTCACTTGGAAGTAAGATACTGTTTGATACCATCTGGAATCAACATGTTAACATACTATACCCAAAAACATAGAAATATTTCTATGTATTTGCTATAGCTATGATAACATTAGTCTTATTTTAACAACTGCAACTGATTATGTTCAAATATCATAGCAGAAATATGAAGTTGTAAAATTACGGTATTAACTGTGAACAAGTTTAATAGACTAAGCTTGCAAAATTACTTGAAATCAAATTTGACAACTGACTTTCACTGCATAAAAGAAAAAACAAAATTAACACCAAATTAATATAACACACATAGCATGTCTATACTATAGGTTTTTTATGTGATTTACATTTAGCAAATGTATGTAATCGTGAAAAATGCAAATTTACAATGAAGGAAGAGCATCTTAAATACTTCTATTAAATTATAATCTTAGCTATTCCATATAAATTATCCAATAAAAGCATCATCTCAAAAATACATACGTTTATATATATATAATATAATAATATAATATGTAATACAAATTTAAAATATAGCTAAAATACTATTACTACTACATAAAAATCCATATATAAATATTTTCTGTATATGTTTGTTTTTACAAATACGTATACGCCTAAGTACATAAATGTAATAATAAAATTAGCTGCTTTATAAAAAACATTATTTTTGTTTTCTTTCAGCTTAATATTTATTATTTAAAAATTTAATAATAAAAACCATGAATCGGTTTTGTTTTTTAGAATTTTAACTTTTATTTCGACTCGAGAGTAGAACTTTATTATTAATTACACAATACTTCGGCATCCATTAATCGCGTTTGCGGGTGATCATAACTCCATACGCGCTTTTTCATAGCCTTGGTGATCCATAAAAATATACCGAATCTGAGTGAAAATGAAGAGAATAATATATTAAATTAATTTTTATATTTAAATGTTCTCTCCATTTAGTGCATTTTAACATTTATATTGTTTTATTTTTTTTATTAACACAAACATGATTTACAAAAGAAAAATCAAAACTTCTTAAAAACATATTTCATAAATCTCATTTATTATTAATATTATTATATAAAAAGCACAAACATTGAGTTTATTAAGTTGATTTCAATTGAAAACATAATTTTTAACAATCAGCACCAATTATTGCAATTTTAAACAAAACAGTATAAAAATTGCACATTCACAATAACATTAGACCAATTGAAATTGGCATAATTAAGTGTACTCAATTCCCAATAACTGTTGGTCGTCAGCTGTTTACATACAACCATAAACATTGCATTATGTTTCTGCATCTTTATTTACATAAATCTGTATTTTGCTCTTAATGTTTACAACGTGAAATTAATAAGAAATGTCAATTTATCGAGCACGGTAAGCTAAAATTGTGCATTTCACAATTTTAATAAAGTTTAATATAATGCAATTAATTTTGATAGCGTTAAAGAATTTGAAGATGCACTAAAAGAAGATGAAATACAGCTAAAGTACCTGCACGAATTATGCTTTAATGGTATGTAGAAAGGGGGAGTTCTCAATTTTTCTGTAAAAAAAATTTGCTTTATTAGGTATACCTGATGGTTATAGTTTTCGCTCCTTATGTTGGAAAATATTACTAGGCTATTTAGGTCACAAGAGACTTACATGGGAAGAGACACTGTCAAGAAAACGTTCACTATATCGTCAATTTATTGAAGATTTAGTAATACCCCCAGGTATTGCTGCAACAAATGGAGAAAATGGTTGTTTAAACGATCATCCGCTTAGTGAAGGCCCGGAGAGCGCCTGGAACACATTTTTTAATGACAATGAATTTCTATTACAGATTGATAAAGATGTTCGACGGTTGTGTCCAGATATATCATTTTTTCAACAACCTACAGAATTCCCATGTGATATAGTTGCTAATAGTAAAGGCGAACGAAGATTGCATCAAAGGGTTGTTCCCTCAATATTAAGCTCTGCCAACGTTGAACGTAAAGGATTAGGCGTTACAAAGGTACAAGTTTGTAAAAACGTTAAAAAAAGTCACTTAAAATCAATCTCATTTATTTATGCTAACATGAACGCAAGTAGCAGGTTGGTGTTGAAATCTTATTAAATATTTCACAAAACATAATTTATGAATCTCTTACATCCAAAGTGTGTTATATATTTTTGCAGATAAATCTTATAACAAAACGTTCTTTTGAAAGTTATAGCGCAATGGAAGAGGGACAAGAAGCTCATTGGGAAATAGTACAACGTATATTATTTCTATATGCTAAATTGAACCCTGGACAGGGTTATGTGCAAGGCATGAATGAAATTGTTGGGCCAATTTATTATGTTATGGCTTCTGATCCAGATATTGAGACACGAAGTAAAAAAAATTGTTAATTAGTAAATCTGATTGCAATTTTATTATATTTTAGAACATGCTGAAGCAGATAGTTTCTTCTGTTTTACCGCACTAATGAGTGAGATACGAGATTTCTTTATAAAAACTCTGGACGATACCGAGGGGGGTATAAAATTTGTAATGACAAAATTATCGAATATGGTGAAACAAAAAGATCCTGAAGTATTCGAACGTTTAAGGCATCAAGAACTTCATCCCCAATATTATAGTTTTAGGTATGCATTCCAATTTTAATTCTAATAATCAATAATTATAATATTTATTATAGGTGGTTAACACTATTACTTTCACAAGAATTTCCACTGCCAGATGTTGTGCGCATATGGGATTCTGTATTTTCAGATGAACATCGCTTTGATTTTTTGATTCGAATATGTTGTGCAATGATATTGTATATATTAAATTTCAGTTATATTAATCACAAAGCAATATAATTAAATATTTTTTGGCTTTCAGAATTCAACGTGATTTAATTTTGGAGAATGACTTTGCATCCAACGTAAAACTTTTGCAGAACTATCCTCCAATCGATATAAATATCGTACTCTCTCATGCAGTTTCTCTTAAGTGATAATGAACAAGGCACATTTGGAACGAACTACAAACGCCCAAGGTATCAAATTAAAAGCATTTGTCAATGAAATCATTCAAGAAATATATTAGCTCTTAAACAATCTACAAAGCAATCGCAAGAATTTAAATAAGACATTTTATTAATATAATTTTTTATAATAAATATATACATGCAAATATGTTTTAAAATATAATTTCACGGTACTTTAAAATTTTCACTACAAATTGCTTACATCTAAGATTTAATATTAAACATCAGAGAAGGAGGAAAGACAGCTCAAGACAAATCAAATTATTACAGCACTGTATGGTATTATGAAGTCAAATCAGGTAGTTAGTAGTTCAAGTCATAACGTAGTTCATGGCAATGCGTACGCTTGAACATGTTTTGCCTTTATTTAGTATTTAGTTCTTAGCAGTAGTTAATTTAGGAGCAGTATCCTTGCAAATAGTTTGGGCAATAAATTCAACCAAAGTTCGCGTTGGCCGGCCGGCCATACCCTCACGTATATATTCAAAGTTTTTGCCATTAGTAACCATAGTATTTGTTGCATCCTTGAAAATGAATATTAACGGTTTTTTCAGTAAATGAAAAATTTAATTTAATTTCTACTTACAATGTGCATCCACTGGCCGCAAGGTACAAATTCTCGTAAAAAGGCAGCTGCCTTACAAGGACGAGCACCACGGCCTATACCGTAATTCTGCACATCAGAGCGACCACTACTGGTTAAAAGATGAGAATAATAATCCCATAAAGGTAAACGCCATACTCGATCACCAGTGTGCATGCTGGCATGCTTTATTTGTTGCCAAAGGATTTCAGAATTGGTAAACACTCCGCTAGCTGCTTCATCCAAGGCTTGACGCATACCACCAGATGTTGTACCAATATCAATAATGCATTTAGGACAGAAGTTCTGTGCATACAGCAATGCATCGGCCAAAACGAGCACATCTTCGTGGTCAGTGCATTGAATTTCAATGTGTTTACCATTCATTGACTTTACTATATCACCAGGGCGAAAAGAGTTACATCCAAGTACATTCTCGCAAAGCGGAATTAGTCCGCGAATGTTAACCTTAGGGAATAAATGTAATGAACAATAATGTATTTTAGTTTTTTGTAGAGATTTGGCAACAAACTTCTCCACGCAACTTGTTAGATTAATATAATATTTAGTTAATAATTTTGTTATTATACGAAATAGATGCTTTAAGTCTAAAAATTGCATTAAATATTTAACTAGAAACGTTTCAATGAATTCGAATACTTGATATTAAGCTAGAAGATATTTTGCAATATGTTTAAGAGATATATGACATTTAGATGATTTCCTAAAATAAAACCTTGTTTTTACAAAATTACTAAAAAATTACGTATTGTTATTTTATTTTAACTTATTATACATCACAGTTTATGGCTCAAGATTTGAATTCATCGAGCTATAAACAAACGAAGTTAAACTATATATGATCATGCAAAAACATTATAAACACTTATTGACTTTATTATTAAGATTTTACTTAAAAAACTTTTTATATTGCCCTAAAAATTGCTACATGTATGTCTAAAAATTAAGCCAGTCGTCTACAAATATGATTATCTCCCTTCAAACAACTTGATATAATTGCTGAATTTCAATAAGATGTAAAAAGCAAAAACTGGTATTATTCTAAATAGTAAATATATATGCATATACGATAATACTTACCGGTAAACGCAAACCAGCAATTGCACGACAGGTAGCCACAACAACGGCAGCTCCAGTCATATCTCCACGCATGTGAAACAGTTCTTGTCTTGCTTTTAAACATAAGCCACCACTATCGTATGTGATTCCCTGTCCTACTAAAACAATAGGACGTTCGTCAGCACAGGTACCATAATAACTTAATTCGAGAAATATAGGCTGTTCACAAGATGCTTTACCAACAGACAAGAACGCATGCATTGACTGACTTTCAGCCCATCCTTCGACTTTAACTTCCACGTTTACACCTGACTTACAGAGGACCTCTACAACATTTTGAGCGAATGATGTTGGTGTTAGAAGATTTGATGGCATTTCTTGCAATTGACGTGTTAAATTTTGAGCGGAAGCTTTTTGTAATCCTATTCGCCAGCCTTCAATATCACAAATTTCATCCTTATGGGTATATAAATCAATAGATGGCACACCAATACGTCTTTTCGGTTCTCTTAATTCTTGATAAGCCCATATGCCTAATGCAGCACCTTCGGCCGCTGATTCTGCATGACCACAGCTTTCTATTTCAATTCGATCAGTTTCTAAAAGTGCCAAATCCATGCATGCTTTGGCAACTGAACGTCGTATTGCTTCTTTCTGTTCATCTAGTACCTCATATGGGTTGTAGCCAAGACATTCTCTGCCTAGCCCTACAACAGCAACCACAGAATAATAGGGAATTTTTTCAGAATCTACAGCAAATAGAAGACGGGCTTCACCACGTTTAGGCATCGGCCCAGACATACGCAAAACTTCTAGAAGTCGACCATTTGTCTTTTGGATGTTGTACCTCCACGCAGCGGGTGTTAATATACCGGCATCACTCTTATCCTCCTCGTCAGAATATACACCCAACACTAAGCCGCGAGACGGTGGATCGGCACAAATTTCAGTTTGCTGCAACTGCAACATGGCAGTGATTGCTTGAGAGGCATACCCACGCACGTTACGCATTTGTTTGAATGTACGCATGAGCATGCGAATTTGGGGTACACGAAGCATTTTGATTATGGACGACACAAAACATATAAAACAAACAAAAAAGTAAAAAATATGTACATGCACTATTATTTTTGACAATGATTTTCGAGGAGGAAAGAATAACAACCGCACTGAACACAACAATTTAAAAACTAAAAAAAAAACATGACAACTTGACATTGTAAAAATAAAAAATTGACTTGAATTTCTTTGAGTAACTGTTTATGTCACAAAATAAATACATATGTATGTATGTGTTTCTGAAGTTACACTATTCGATAAAAATACATTATAAATCCTGCAGAATTGCAATTTCGACCATTTTTAACGAATACTTAAAAACGTTCAAATACACGAGGATAGTTTCTTAATATATGGGGATTTTCTTAAATACTCGTGTTATAGTTTATAGGTTTAATTCAGATTCAATATTTAGTTTTGCAATTGCAATCATAACAATTAGGGTTAGGGGCTAGGGCCAATGTCGTTTTTATATTGTACAACAACTCTAAGGGTAATGGCGAGTTAAACTGTATCAAAACGCTTGAGTCCATTCTACTTAGTTTTGTTAATTGAAGTACTATATGCCGTGGTATTAAACATGATTGATTTTTAGTTGAATAAATAGTAAAGAACATATTTATTTTTTATCTTATTTGTTTTGTTAGTATCTGTAGAACAACACTTGTATCTCATAATAATATTCACAGAACGAAAAAATTTTTTTTACACATGTGAATGGAATAGCAAAGACTACTCAGAAAAATATTATTTTAAATTTATAAATGATCTCATTATTCTAATTTCAGATATATATTTTAACTAAGTACATTTAATATTGTGATCACCTAAGTTAAGTATGTTATAGTACTTGGTCATATATTACATAGACCGTAAGACAGTCAAGACAATCCACGAAATAAATTGTATAGTTAAATCGATAATACCTAAGACTCAGACTTTATAAAAAGATCTGGAATGAAGTTAAACGATTCACATCTGACAGAGTTTAATCATTTCTATTAAATATTTGCTGTATACCTCTCGTAAATTTCTAAGCTGATTCCTTAATGCGCGAAAAAATTTGGTTCCATTTATTCAAATATTGGTTTTAAGTCCCTTAAATATATTTGTTTTATATCTAAACGGGTTTAGAAGTTGTGGTGGCCCACTTTTTTTACAAAATTTTTAGCCGAGCTGGAAATATTAATTTTTCTCCTTTTGACGAAAATTAAATAATGGATTGATTAATATTATAACCACTAGAGAGAAAAAGGAAAACCGAAAATAAGGTCCTTTCAAGTGGAAAATGGTGTAAAAATTTACAAGAAGTACACGGAAATTAATTTATCTCCTTCTATCTATTAAATTGAAGCAGTATCACCCATAGATGATTAAATAATTAATTTTAAACATAGTAAAAATAATAAATTTTGTTACAACATTAAAAAAGCAACTTTCTATCGGGCTACCGAAAACGTACTTAAGAGTGAAAAAAATATTGAGTTCATTAGACCAGAAGCTGTATCAATAATTTCTTCATTTGATGCCAATAAGAACAATGACAGTTACAAAAAAATTGACCATAACACAATATGATTTTAAAATGAAATAAATTTCAGTTTAAATACGTTCATAAATATTTTATTTTATATTATTTAATTATATTATAGCGTACACTCACAATTTATGTAACCCCTACCTAAAAGCGTATTAGTTCCATCGTATATGTCGTAAATGTACACATTAAAAGCCATATTTCGAAATCCAAACCATTCCAATTATGTACGCTTTTAGTACGTTCAAGTTAAAACTTGTATCATAATAACATTATACATTGTCATAAATGGCATTTATTGTAATAAATTGACATTTAACAGAATATAAATTATATTAAACGCAATACAGCGCTTATTGTAATGTAGAATCACACTAGATTATTTACAATTCAATAAATCTGCTTATTTATTATAATAATTGAAATATTATAATAAATCATAATAAATAATTAAAAAAGGTTGTGAAACGGGTTTTTCACAATTTACTACAGGTAAATGCCAGCTTGACCGTACTATTAACTTAAATTTTTTTTTAATTAAGTTATTTTTACAAGAGTTTTTTAAACTTATTAAATACTAAACATTTGAAGGATAAAAAAAGAGAACGAATTAGTAACGTTTTTTAAATTTCAAGTAATAAATTAATTAAATGCATAGTACATATTAGGTTATATAAAAAGTCGTAATTATAGAGTATCGATTATTAGAATGCAAACTATTTTTACTTAAATTTTCAAGAACCAAATCATTGATTTTAGTCAAAATAATCTGTTTGATTAAATAATTTTTCAATCAGTTATAATTAATTTTTCTCATATATAATATAAGTAATATAAGTGGAATTAATTTCTATCCCTATTTAAAATTGTATATGTCATACTATGACATTTATTTTTCATAGTAATCCACATAAAAATATTATTTTATGATTTTATAATTCTTCAAAAATATGTTTTTTATCTGTATTAAGGATATGTTTGAGTCCTGCGTGTGGTGGGTGTATATACATATTCTCGTATATATATATATATTAATACTATTTTTACTAGTTTCATAAAATAAAATTATTGTTATTATCCGATAAACTTTTCGAAAGGTACATGATCGTTTTTCATATTTTTTAAATAATTTGGATGTTAAATAATGTGCAATAACAGGCACTGCTTAGTAACAAAATTTAAATTTTATATGTACATCAGTAAAATAAATAAAATGTTTTTTAAACTTGAACAATTATTAAAAGACTATGAAAATTGTTAATACTTTTTTGGCACATTTTCTCTACAAGAGTACATTTTCCTATATATATAGATATATGTATATATAAGTTGAAATATAAATTTAATTCTTCAAATTTAACAATTTGCCAAGGCAGTTTATTAGAAAAACATATTACTTTAGTTATATACTTTGGTAAAACAAATAACAAATCTTACCAAATTTAATAACAGCTCATTTTGTTTCTTATTGATATATATTTTCAGTATTCTCTCTAATATATAATTTATTTTATAAGCTACGTATACTATATTTACAAAATATTATAACTTTTTTTATTATTTCAATAAATATAAATATTCTCATTTAATTAAATCTAAAATATCTAATAATATTACCTACATAATAAAATAGTCTCATCTCTATAACGAACAATATGAAGTAAAATAACAAGAATATAGTTCAAATATATATTTCTGATAACTTCTTACATGAATCAGTTAGAACTTCAAAGATTTAGATTTCTATGATTAGATTTTTCATACAATGGTATATAAGGAAATTATCAATTACAAATCACGTCAAGCAATCTTCTCAATATATTAAAAAAACTTTATTTTATTATGGATAACGTCAAAAAGGATTAAGTTAAAATGAGTGATTGAGCAATTATTCAGATTCAGTTTCTGCTTTTTTTTTTTATCAATATAAGATATACTTTTAAAGGTTATATTGTTGCTCCCCAACAGAGCGTGGGGACCAAGCTCTGCACTTGATCTTGATCTTCTACATTAACAGATGATTGGTTAGGAACTATATTCGTTAAACTATTTAAACTACAGGTTATCATTAAGGTCGTCTATAAAAAAAGTATCGACATTTCTGATTAAACAACAACACATTTCTACTAGGCTATAACCCTGTACACCATTCAAATAATGTAACCATCACTAATACCATGTTTCCCAATCGCTTCTGTGTTATTTTATAAAAGTGCTACAGTGATATTCAATTCCCCAATATAGGATGTGTAAACACAGTACTGAATACTTAATGTCTTACAAAATTCCATAAAATTAAAAGCCGTAGTTACACGGACTAAATATTAAATATTATCCTAAATATTATCCTTGACACATTTATTTCTTGAATCAACAGCTTTGAAAATCATATTCTCGGTAGATACAGAGCTAGCTTAATTTAGATGTGGTTGTTCTATAAAATTGCCACACAAAAAATGCATAAAATGGTTTACGTATTATGGCCCACACCAGAAATCAATACACCTAAACCCATAAGTTTCTTTTTATTCCGTTGAACGTCCAAACGTATTTATCAACAAGTAAGCAACCGGTGTTACTATCATATCTATATTTTATGAGGTTTGCAGAAAGCATTAATATTATTTAAATATTGTGATCTAAGTATTGATATTGTTGTAAAAAATAAACCAACTTATTCCATTATATATTACCCACGGGGTATCATTTCCTTTATCGCAAAGAATGAAAATTGATTATTTTTAACAATTAGCTCGCCTTTTTCGGTAATACAGAGTAATCTATTATGGATGACAATATCAAGCTTGGTTTTTCTGCTATCAGCCGCGTCATGTTACCATTGTCATTAATAAATTGTTTTATCATTTGCCAATAACATAATAGTAGCGAACGACTGTTGCTTAATCATACAGAGCGATACTGAGATGTATTTACTCAACTATAATTCGGGCATTACTAGCTACAGCAGATCGCGGCTGTTACTTAACGGCTGTTACTTAACTGTGTCTTCGGTATTAACTTAATATTTAGCTATAATTATTGATGTCAACTCATTTTTACGGATATGGTACTCTAATCTCACCATTCTGTTTCCATTGGTAAATATTTTCATTTGGTAACTCTACTCTTCTACTTAATTATGAAAATATATTTAGCCAAAATTTGACAATTTTCTCTATAAGATGCACCGAAAACCGCTTAAAATATTTTTTGGGATATTTGCTGGACAGGTAAATAGTTTTTAGTCAAAGGTGGACGTGAGCCCTAAGAAGTACATCCGTTGCGATACTATAGAGACGTTTTAAATTATGTTAGCTAACTATAAAATATTGTTAACCAGGAAACATTTAGTATTTAATACATATTTAATAAGTTTGCTTTACCATAATGAATGCATATCCAAAGAAAGAAATTTGATATGCAACATACAAAAACTAAATATTTAAGTAAATAAGTATTGTAAGTTCATGTCTACATCAATATATGCTACTATTCTAATATAGTGATCTCCGAGTGGAATAGAGCACCGTGCCCTTAGTATACGTTTTGTTGAACAGAAATGCTAAATATAGAGTACTGGAAATTTTATTTAGATATTGGAGTTAACTGCCGGAAAACTCAAAAATGTAATAGTTACAATAAGGTAATACTTATAATTATTTAGCCCTTAAATTAGCACTGTTTTAATAAAGTCTATATATTATTAAAACAGTTGTAGTAAAATCTACATACTTGCACTGATAAAAAATCTATGATAGTAATAATCCATATCAAATTTTTTTAAAAACATGTAATGAAAGAAGTTGAAATATGTTACGTTGTATAGATGAGACTGAACAAATTTGTGTGGTTCTAGTACATATCTATTTCAATGAAATTGAAATAAGCCTTGAATATATACGTTTTATATGATGAATCTCTGGCTGCACTTATATACATATCCTTAAAATTTTGTGTTCATAAATCCATTATAGCATCTAAACAATAAGCCTGCAATACAATGTATATTGTAGATCCTTTTCTATTACTCATGTCAATTTCTGCAGATAGCAAAATAACAACTGATATAAATATTAAATCATTTTGATAATTAAAGATATAAATAAAAATATACCTGTTGAAATGTATATACAAATTAGCAAATTTAACTCAATGCCATCAGCAAACTAGCCACACACCCGCGAAGGCATTTTAGTGTTTTAAATATAAGTTTCTTTGTTGAATCACAGAATTTTAGAGACACTTGGAGGCACCCCCTCAGTATTAACACCCTGTTCGGAATGTACTTTAGTTGTAAAACTTTCCACACTCGCTGTTCTACTGAGATCAATGGGCGGTATGTCTTCATCATAATCCTCCTCATGCTCTTGTTCGATTTGTTCTTCAAGCTCTGGATACACACGTTTATTTAGGTCTGCTTCTGGACTGCATGTGGGTGCGTGAAAATAATGTGGTTTTTTCTTTGATGATGATGGCCCTGGCATATAAATGATACCATCATCAGTATCAATATCCTCGTCAGCAGGCAATGCGTGCGGAGAAACATGTTTTGAGTTATAAGTATAACCACCATAGCCAAACTCACTTTGATATGGATTTGATTTAACGTAGACTGTTTGACTACGATGGGTAGAACCACTATCAGCAGATTTCTGTATCGAATGACCAACAGTGCCGTGCTGCCCACTACCGGAGTGGGCAACTGATTGCTATATGTGCGACTGTGAACGCGCTATAGAAAGCGAATAAGGGCTAATGTCCTTTTGAATGTGCATTGTATCGTAGATGGGAAATTCGCAACAGAGTATAAACTTTAGAGCGCTTGGTACTTCAACATAAACGGCAGGTGGTACTGGTATCAGTGGTGACGTTGAAGCTTTATACTTACGATATTCCAATTGACTTAAAATAAAATATGATATGTACATTAATAAACAAAACAATAATTATTTGTTTGCATACTCCTTATATTTCTCATCTGCGGAACGCTCACGCAATGGTATACCGGACAGAAATAGTATGATGAATGTGGTGAATATTGGTGAAGCAATGGCTACCCATTCATGACCAGATATTACGTTAAGTGATATGGCGAAAATACCCCACCATATAACAACCTCTCCGAAGTAGTTTGGGTGGCGTGATACTCTCCAAAGACCTATTAAAAAAAATAATCTTTTAAAATAAGATTCATTTGTTGTTAATTATTAGCAGTGAAGGGTAAAATTATCAGATTATATTTCAAGCTCATGTATGCAACGTTAATATACAATTTGTGTTTTTTTCTAAAATTAACTGATGTCGTAGCATTTGCGCTTATTTTCTATTTCTATTCTTATAAATCAATACTGTCTGTGGTCTAAATACGTGTACTTCCCATGTAAGCTTTTTCCGAATACAAGCTTCTCACTCGCTAATTTACTATAATTTCTTGCACATTATTAAGATAAACATGCACACCTTTTGTTCAACGGGAGTGAAACGAATATTAGGTTTTAATTAATACGTTGGAGAAATGTTATTAAATTTCAATCAAAAGATTTAATTACTTGCTGGGCTACGCAAATTTACATTTCACTTAATTAAAACTGTTAAGAGAAGTCAAAGTTAGTTTAGTGTCCGTTGTATGAGTTGATTAACATTTTAATTATTTTTTTATTTACCAACTAATACTATTAATATAAGAAGATTATCATTAGTTTCACAATTAACTTTGAAATGCACTAAAGGAAATAAAGCTCCATGAATCAAATAAATTAATTTTCCATGTATTTATTTGTTTTCCTACCCCGACCAATGAATGCTCGAGTCTATTATGTTAGCAAGCGAACAAGTAGACAGTTTCACGCCAGTTTTGGATCAAAACTCAATCATTTGTAAGAGCTGTCCTTATTGGGGTTACTTCATCATCTAACTTCTAATAACAGTATAATTATAAATTATGTTTCTGTAATGCAGATAAATGCAAAATATACATTAATTTAAACTTCAAAAATTTAATCTAAATGATTTGCATTTAGACATCTTTTTTATATATATCTATAGTTTCGGTAACAGTTTTTATACAAAAAACTCAGTTATATTTTAATATCTGACTACGAGTCATTCAATCAATTGAAGAAATCAGATATTTTCGTAATATCAAAAGGTTAAACATTAACACCGGTGGTCACTAGTATAGAAAGACATTCAAAGATCATAGGTACAAAATGTGTAAATATGTACAAATAATATAAGTAGTTAAGGACCTAATAGATCGCGACATCCAACTGATATAAAAATATAATAATATTATAATTAAAAACGTAGAAAAACAATTAATATTGCAATTTGTAAATAATATAGCTACATGTGTACTTCTCAAATAAATATATGTCATAATATATAACTGTCATAAATATTACTGCTTTGAAGTCTATAAATAAACCTTCAAATTATTAAAAGGTTTTATTTTATAATACCAAAAAAATGCTTAAATACTAAAATACTACTAGGAATACAAAAAAAAATACTACTAAGTAATATATGTCAGTTGTAGATAGAAGCCCTCTCAGTCTTCGTATTAACACATTTCTAGATAATAGCTTTAAAATATACTTTTATAGAGAGATCTTGTCAACATTTAGATAGACAATTTTACAATGTTTTATAGTAATTATATTATTATGAAGTAACATAAGTAAAAACTATTCTGTCTACCTGAAAATAATGGAGTTTTTCTAAAATTTGCATTAGATATGCTTCAGCCATGAAAGTAAGCACGTTGCCTTAATGTTAATGGTACTTCAAGTCTATGGTTTTCTTACTAATTTTTTTAATCGATAAATTTCATAAAGTCTTTGATATGAAACCTATAAAATTACCATAACTTAGAGTCATATTAAACAGATAGTCATGGTAACGTAATGAAGTTTAGAGTACAAATTTTTTTTACATAAATTAAAAAATTAAGAATGGGAGGAAGAGGGAAATTTCCATTTAAATTTGATCACAGTGATGAGGCTTTGTGTGCTTCGTAAATATGTAAATATGTGTATTTTTACATACTTATCGAAATAATAGGAAATTGACAATTGTGATATGATTCTCTCTATCTCTCTCTATATTATATCTTACATTATAACCATAAAAAGTGTAAAATTGCCGTGACCAATCTTAATATGATTGACAAGGATATTAATTAAATAGAAGTTTCAAGTTTATTTTTTTATGATTGACTTTTTTTGGTTCGTCATTAATAAAATGAAAAACTGCAATTCCCTACTTTACTTTATACGTAGTATTTTACATATTTTAGTATTTACATTTTACTTATTTTCATCATAATTTAATGCTCTAATTAGCATATGAGTAAACTCAAAATATCCTTCAAATTTGAAAACGCGATTCGGTTAAATTGACGTTAATTTTGGTCGTAAAAGTACGTAATATAAACGCAGCAGAAATTCGTTAACTCATTTTCTGCTCAACTAAGCCATTATGAGTAACAAATGTGAATTGACATTTGTTACTCCAGTGCCATTAACTGCACCACATACTTACTGCATACTTACCATCATTGCAAAATTTTCCTTGATTTGAGGGATCCTGTCGAAATGAAAACTTTTGCAAATCTGCATAGGTTTCTGCCAAAAGACCAACAATAAACATGCCAGTGCCTGTTGAGTCCAAGGTGGTCATGGTTTTGGGCGCATTCGGCTGTGAGTGCCTCGGTGAGTTTATAATAATCACTGGTAAAGATACAATGTACACCCAACAAGCCTGCAAGAGAAAGTAAATAATTTCAATTTGCATTTGCATTTGTAGAACGTATAAAATGACAAAATCACAAAACTACACGGCATACAAAAAATCATCTCACGGCATACAGCACAGCACAGGCAACCGTACTTGAGTAGCAGTATCTGTTCATCTGTCTGTCTGTCACACACCTGTTACAGCAAATATTAAGCAGCAAATAGCAAACAGCAAACAGCAAACGGCAAACGGCGAATGGTAAATGGTAAATGTCAAATGGAACTGACGCCTCTATGACTAAAGGTACGTTTGTGTGTGACGCCATCAACAAGTGATTTCATTTAATTTGTGCAAATCTTCTACAAAGCGGATCAATACGCAACTAAAGCATGTCACTCAAAACATTTGCCTGCGGCTTGTGGTCTGAATGTATGTGTGAGCGGCAGCGGGAGCGTGTGTACTTGTGTATGTGTGTGATATGCTTGCGTTGGCATTTATAACGTATGATGACCGTAGGTGCCAAACGCTAGCAAACGCATATCAATAATACAAGCACACTTCTGGAATAATTTAATTTATGTAAATATTGAAAGATACGTCAACAAGCAAGTTATGGTCAAATTATATTGCAAGACATATCAGTAGACATGAGCCTTGAGACATTTGATATTATGAGACAATGATTTATTATCATTTTGTAATAATTTTCTTTTATATTATAAAATTCATATTTTTCTGCTTTGATCATAAAATAAATTATCTATCAAACAAATATACAGTCTTCTTGTAATTGATATAAAAAGCCTTTAGTGATTTTTATTAATAGTCAGTAATTCATTTTCAATACCTTTCCATAGCTGGTCAAGGCAGCTTTAGACATGTTAAAATATATGTACCTATATAATTTATAAACAAAAATCAATATTCATTTAATATGACAAGCACGCATGAAACTGTAAAGTTTACATTTCTGCAGTAATAGCAACGTACATGAACAATCAAACCAGCCGTACATCGTAATCATTCCTTCTATCCCGAATAATGTACCTCGTTGCGTATGAGTGATGTATGATGACAATTTCAACTGATACTCGTATAAAGTTTTGATAAACATGACACCGTTTTGATAAACATGACAACGAAGATTTGTGAAAATGTGCATATTTAAATAAATTTAAGTAAGTTTTAGGCTTAACTATCCAATGTTTAGAGAAAGACCAATTGTGATTAAAATACATATTAAGCTCAAATATACTTGAGAATGCAGTGAACTAGCGAAATATAACTCAAATATGAATAATAAATTCATAAAATTTATGAAGTCAGTTTTTTAGACCAAATAAGACTTGAGAACAAATGAAATCATCTTATTTAATGTGCTGTCTTTTAACAAATATAGATAGATTGGTTGGTGTCACTAATTAAATAAAAATAAGTGACAAAACCTGGAATTTGAGCATTGAAAGTTTGTGCAGCCTTGGCTATTTGTGGATAAACACGATTAGTCATCGCTTCTAATTTGACAGGCACGAGTTCTAAGCCTGGCACTTGCAGTCCGAACAAATTATATACGGACTATAAACTAATTAAATAAAATTCGATTATTTCCAAAAGACCACTGATGAAGAGTACTTGGCAATACTCGAAACAGCGTTGTATAGTCAGCCAAATTTCAATAAATTAAAAATAAAAAATTTTTGTCTTTGTCCTTTCTTTGCTATTCGAATCCGTCTAACTTTTAAATAGATAGACAAATGCCGACCTGATTGCAAGCACACAAAAGGATGAAAAAATTTTACACAATGAGATGGGATAAGAAAGATAATATGAAGATGAGGAAAATGAAGAAACATGTTAATGGTAGGGATGTTGAATCTTACCAAGATCAAGGAGAAGAAGTTTCGCCACCTCAACGGAACAGAAACATAAATTAACAGTGCTCAAATGTATGTTGCAATTTGGCCAAATTAACAGAGGAGTAGAGTAGAGCTTAAGGACAGGGGCACACATTAGGAAACAGAATCCATTAAGACTTTTGTTGATATCACCAAAGATTAGTCAAAATCTTGATTAAAAGTAATGAAAGTGAAATTGAGCATTGAGCATTTGAACAAACAATCTACCGCATCAATCTATCAAACATTTGTGATACAGAAAAGATGTTACACAGTTTATTCTTCACTAGTTGATAGAAGATTAAAAATTATTCTTAGCAATTTATCGGCTAGAATTCACTTTTTAATTGTCCAACACTCTCGGTATTCAAGTTATTTTTATCGTGTAACTTTACTTTTACCTTACCTGTTACGTTTAAAAGACGTAAAAGTCAAAAAAAAAGTATGTATTATTCATCTTGATGGATCATCAATTGATCCATTGGGTTAAATATGATGTGAATGTATTAAAATAGTTTCTCAACACAATAGATTAGGAATCTGATCTAATCTAATCTAATCAACACAATCTATTAACCAAACAGCGGGTAAGTCTATTTGGAACTGCTTTTTTTGGGATCATGAACGTAGACAGGTGGGGAACTGAGAGAAATGAGTCTAAGGACTATATTTATTCAAATGAGCATTTATTATTAACGCATCGTGACTACTTAACATGATAAAAATTATTTTTATATTACTGAAATTATGTGAATGCGGTCTAAAAAAATTCCCGACTACGGGACCGTTTAAGATCAATTAATTCATATACTAAATCGAATATTTAATTTAAATTTAAAGCTATGGAATATACTTCAATATATGCTTTATCAAATTGTATTGAATTTTAGCTAATAAAAATTAATTTATTATTATTGAAAATTTCAACACAGGAACTAAATTTTACTTTTAAATGCATTCATTTTATTATTTAATATTAAAATTATTTCAAATTTACTTATATAATATTAAGAATAATAATAAGAAATAAGCTAATTTAGTTACACATAAGCATAAAATAATAAAAATCCAAGATTAATCTTCACATCAATAACATCAATAACATCGGAAAATTACACACACACAAGTAGATATATATTTTTCTCTACTTTCTCAAGAATTAGCAATTTAGTGCTGTTGTCAGTCATTAATTAGGCGAATTATTCAGAGCGCTAATTAAGATAAAGTCATTATAAGAAGCACAAAGTTAATAAACCAAGAAGTGAAAATTATGTATCGCATTACGGACTCCACTCTCATACTTTCGTAAATAATTTATATTTAATTTTAGGTAAAAAAAAGTTATTAGTTTCGTAAGGCACTAAAATATTTAATCACATTTCGATGCATCAATATTTAACTTTTATATATACACATTTTATAATAGAATTAATGCAAAAAAAATTATATTGAACTATAATATGTTATTAATCCATAAACCACAAATAAATTATTCTACTTTTAAGATTAATATAAAATAACTTCCTTTTACAGACATCCTTTGCATGCTGGGACAAGCTGCTGAGAGAATTGCTATTAGAGGATATGAAGTGTTCACAAATATTCCCATTCACCATGTAAGTATTTTGAATTGAAAATAATACGACAACGTGTTCTTCACCTATTATTCATATATTATCCATACAAAATTTACAACATTTGTTACATCAAAGCAATAGCAACAGATTATCATTTTTGGCAAGAAGCCAACATATCCTTTAAAGTCACAAGGCAAAAGTTAGATAAGTCAATGAAATTTTGGCAAGAAACTAAAAAAAATCCAAAAAAAAAATTTAAAATAAAAAATTGAAACACATCTGGGACAATATTATGCAAAAATATTGAAATTCTTATCGTAAATTTAATTTTGGTCAATGTACTTTTGTAAAAGGATATACCTTTATATGAGTTATCTGACTGCCATAGTCAGCAAGTTGAAGCGTTTCTACACATTCAGTAAGCACTCCTTCGATAAGTTGAATCATCATTGTTCTTTGTTTTAATTGCCATTAGAAATTAATACTATATTTAATTTACAGTACTTCTGTGGAGTAAAATAAAGCCACTATGCTGTGCAATCTTATTCCTCATCCAATTAAATTATAAGTGTTCAGTTTAATCTCAAGATACACTTAAATATTTGCGTATTTACTTAAAAGTTGGCATATCAAAGATAGGTAATATGATAAAAAACGCATTGAAGTGTATTTAAAAAGTGTGTATTTCACACTAAATCTACTATATTTGCCGTTCTACCACATTTTTCACCTTTGTCTAGAAAATATAAATAGAAAATCAACATGGTACTGGATCTCGGGAACAGAAGACTGCGAATATGATTTATACTTTATATTACCTACCGATCCTAACATAATAGAAAACTCCTCACCTTTCAGATAAAAGCAAAATGTTAGCTGTTAAGGATATCCTTACTTTGGACAAGGATAGGAACCCCAAACTAACAATCTCTTCCTGTCCCAAAATAACAGTGACAACAATCACGAACAGTCACAAAGAATGTACATAACATAAAGATCTTTTCTGCTTACAAGTGGTGACAACATTCTGTATCTTCAGATAGACTCATCCTATTAAAACTGTGGCAACAACCACAGTTCCGTTCAATTGAGGAGCAACAAACTATCGTAGTTAAAAGGACACATCAGCTACTTAGTCTGATGATTATAGGGCATGTTTAAAAAAAAATTTTAAGATGAAGTATCTGATGTGGTGGATTGTTGAGGTGGGTACTGAAAAAATATTCATTAAAAAAATACTGGGAAATGTTCATACATATTTTTCTCTAAGAATATCAAGAAAGCCATGTCCGACAATTAAATTAATGGATAAAAATTGAAATTTTGTGTGGGAACACACTCAAGAAGTAGAGATAATGGTTGGATATATTATACTTCAATGTTGTGTATAACAAATGTGGGCAAAAGATATGTATTTGTCTTGTCCTCCACTAAGAATTGTTGAGTCGCAGTGAAGATTTTTTTCGAGTTTTTCACCAACATCTTGAATTTTTATTCGTTTTCGTTTTTATCAAACGTTAGACGATTAATTTGCATTGAAGTATTTTGCATTGAAATGGAAAATTTATTGGGAGGACTGCTCCACACATTTTCAATTTTCCTGATATAAGATTAAGGGTATATACACACCCGGATGTGTTGGATGTTGATAAATAAGTTAAGTCCACAAAACTAATTATAAGTTTGATGCCAAAGAAAAAGTATTCGTCTTGCTTTGTTTTCGGAGTGTGGTAGAGAACAATATTCTAGTAATTTCTTAAGATAAGATAATAACACGAATTTTATTCCATAGAGAATAGATTACTTGCTTCTTTGAGTTGATATCAATTTTAGTATATATTTTTAATTATTTTTCAATTTAATTAAAATAATCGCCTTTTAAAATTCTAAAGATATTAACTACCTAGAACTTAGTACTATGTACTTGCTCTACCATTTTTATATACATAGAAGTCATAAAGTTATTTATAATTCTATTTCAAGAAAAAATAAATATACAATGAAAACCTTAATAAGGTAATTTATTTAAACCTTAAACACAGATGGTGCTTGACACATCTTGACCTATAATTTAAAATATGAAAACTGCATTATTGCAATTACGAGTAGGTATATCGCAAGTAAGGTCTTCACGAACCAAGAAAACGCACCGCTATGAGTTATTGCAATAAATGACGCACGATATCGCCTGCACATGCAAACTTAAAATACTTCACAATTTTAAAATATACTCAATTGACCAAGAACAACACTGGCTTTGCGTGCGTAGATACAATATCTTGTAAGTGTTTTTATTGCTCTAATTAAGTGGTAATAATTTAATATTACGCTTACCTGGAATGTCCAGAAGACGGCGTATCTAATAATGTTTCGACGCGTGTCATCGAATTGCTTATCTCTTCCGAGCTTTACTATACGATACAGCAAATATCCTGACAGCCGTATGCCCCAAAGGCAAACGAACAGAGTCACCATCAATTGTCGACTGTCGTAGGCCTGCAAATGTTTGAAAATGCAAACAAGTTAATATGTGATTTAACTTTTAAATTTACTTAAGTAGAAATAAAATGTATAATTATAAACTTTGAATTTAAAAAGTGCTAACTGTAGGCGCAGAGCAGCTTAATTCGACCCGACCGCCCAAGCGCTACGACACATTTAATGCAATTAGCCAATTATTCGCTTTCGGCTTTCGGCTTGCGTGTACACGTTTCAGTGAAATTTTTATGGGCTTTAAATGACATGCAAATTTTGTTTTTATTGCTTTAGGCAACAAAAGAGAGGACAGTATGGAGGTCTCAGCTCGTGGGTTTATGCACTGCACTCAGGTGCACTTGTATTGAATAATAGTGCTTCGAATGCAGGACCCAATGCCGCTGCATTGCAGGTGGCGTCGATGTTAGATTAACGATAGTAGCAAATTTACATGTTTTAGGTTGTGCATATGATTTATGGTATTTGTTGTTGCTTAGGTTATCCATAATGGTCTATAAAGTAATATATGATTATGTATAAATGTAATACTGAAGTATCAATGATGTAGACGGTCGGCTATGCTTAAGTATAATTTATTTAATTCATTTATAAAAATTAAATAAATTAGAAAATTTTTATTTGTATTGTATAATGCTTTTTCTAAAACTATCCCAAAGTTAATGCTAAACTATAAATAAGTAAAGAATAGAAACTGAGAGGTTTCTGGGTACCTGATGAAATTGAACACTACGGACCATAATAGATTATCTCAACTAGCAAATAGCCATAACTATTCTGAAGACATTCATCATTTCAAATATGTGCCAATAAAAAGTTCATAAAAACAGACATAATCTTCAGGAGTCTTATTGTCATCTTAATCTAGATCAAAGCCCGATAGTCAAAAAGACTAATTTCCATCGTATTCCAAGCAGACAATTTGTTACCTTACCATATTCCATATTTTTGAGATGGTACTGCAGATTGAGATTACCTATCAGATAATCTGGTACAAACTTCAACTTTGTCCTAATAATATGTACATAGGAATTAGAACTTGAAAACTTTTTAATCTGTCGGTTGACTAAATTTTTGCGTCAGTAGTGGTACCTTTAGGTTTTCATTCAATAATTACCATATGTCATACTTATTACCTAATATATATTTATACCTCCAAATTCAATTATCTTGTCAATTATTGATTAAAATTTACTATTATTTACTTTTCAAGTATTTGAAAAGAGTTCTTTGTTTATCAATGAAACTGTACTGGGAATTTTCGAGAAAAACATTATTAGTGAGATATTTGGTACTCTATGAGTTAGTGACGACTCGTCGCAGAAGTAGATCATGTTTTCGGGGGAGTAATCAGGTTGATGATATATAAATTTGCAGTATATGTATGAAACTGGAAATGGCGCGCACGTAGCAGAAGAGCCTGGAGACTGCTGCATCACTTCGAAATTTGATAACGAGTTGTTGTGGTTAATTAAGTTTTTAATGAAAATTAACTATTTAAAAAAATTGTTCAATGGGTTTTTATTGATAATAAAACTATGAATCGTTTAAGAAACCAACCAGCAAATCATTACAGTAAACCAAGACTTTATTCTTACATATTATTATGTTTTGATTATTGAACAATTCTATTCATCTGTATATATATATATATATGATTCAAATCATATAAGGAACTTCAAATTTTTTCTTAGATGCAAATCTTTTATACACGATTCTCTTGCATGATGAATAGTAACATCATCTGCAATAAATACACTATTGTAACCATTAAATATGTCATCTAAAAATAATATGGATAAAAAAAATCTTGCTGAGTTCTTAAAAATTCAGAGACACTGCTATAACTTACAAGTTATTAATTCATCGCCTTCACATGTAGATGTAAAATTTACCTAGTCAACGTAACGATTCTGATTCTTTCCCTAGCAACTATTATTATATTAATTAAATCTCTAATATAGAAATTACTGCGAAGATTTCGAATAAATTTTGATTCGTGTTTTGTTCTTTATGTTTCCATCAACTATATTTATAAACTTGAGTTTGTTTTAATAATATTAGTATGCATTTCTATTATAATATTTTATTACAGAACTGTTATCCAAAACAATTTTTTTTCTACCACATACCTGCAATAAGAGCTCTTGAAACCTTCTCAAAACTATCCATTACTTCTATTTCATTTTTAGTATAAGCCAAGTTTTGTCTAAAATATCATTGAATATGGCCTTATAAATTTCGTAAAGTGCAGTATATTTTGTTCTAACCAACCGCTCTGTATATGTATGGTGCTGACGAAGCACACTCTGGCAAACCCCGCTAATTAAAAACACACACGTAAGTGGCACAACAATAAATGGTGGCCCATAAAAAAGTAGGAAGAGAGCACGCGAGTGTGGTACCATGAACGTCGAACGTTTCACCATGTATTAATAAACAGATGCATTAGCCAAATTATCCAAAATAATTTATTTATAAACCAAATATTGACGTAAGTTAAAGAAGCTTTCTGCCATTTGCATATGGTTAAAAACATTGAGTCTGCATGTTCAAACATTTTTACAATACACAAAAAATGTTCACATTTCCTCTATTTAAATACATATATAATTTCATTCATAGTTTCATACATCAAATAGGTTTAATAATTTAATAATTCTTCAGCTGGTTTACCATATACCCATAAACCCAGTTAATCGTAATGAAGTGTTCCAAAAAATAAATTTATATCCAAATGGATAATACTATTTTAGTTTATCTTATATATATATTTCTTCTGTACGTGTGTTGACAGTGAACTCCTCCTAAACGGCTGAACCGATTTTGATGAAATTTTTTGTGTGTGTTCAAGTGGATTGAAGGAAGGTTTAGATTCACAATTTGGCCCACTGGATAATGTCTTTTTAATTAATTATTTATTTTTTGGTATTCATATACATTTATATTAGAACTTTAAAATTTTTTCATGCTTACTTTGATTTGTTTCAAAAGTTTAAAGTCTCTAAAATGAATCGTAAAATTGCCGTTGCATAGCTTAAGTGCATTTAAATTCCGCAGTATAATTATAGGTGAGCCAATTTTTAATCTTAAGTTATGTGTTGGTATTCCTGGTATTCCAGCGAATTCAAAAATACAACAGAATAGCTGAACGATTCATTTTAGAGTTTAAACTTTTTAAACAAATCAAAGTAAACATGAATAACTTTTAAAGGTTTAATATAAATGTATATGGATAACAAAAAACTGTATAATAATTAAAAAAACGTTATCCAGTGGACCAAATTGTGAATCTAAACCATCCTTGAATTCACATGAACACACACAAAAAAGAAGAATTATATATATAAAGATATAAATAACGTACAAAAAAAAACAATATGAATATGAGTCGGATATCGACTATTCGTCACATTCACGAATTGTAATCGGTGCTATGAACAAACAGTGTCAACACTGTGATGCATTCAAATACAAAGGTGAATCGGCCGGTTTCTGCTGCGCATCTGGAAAAGTTGTATTGCCACCATTGAATTTGCCGCCAGAACCATTGAAAGCACTATTGGCTAAACCTACATCTCAATCTAAATTGTTTTTTCGTAAAATTCGCAAATTCAATTCGTGCTTTCAAGTGACATCATTTGGAATAACAAAAATCGTTCAGAATGAGAATGGTCGCAATTTTCAATCAACATTTAAGATTCGGGGCCAAGTGTACCACCAAATTGGTTCTTTAATGCCGATGCCCAATATCGATCCCAAATTTCTGCAAATCTACTTCATGGGTGATGAGAAGCAGCAAATAAACGCACGTTGCCAGTACAACCATATCGAGCAGATGGAGGAGCAAGAAATTGTAGGTATTTTAGAACCGTTTTTAAAAAATCACAACCAGTTGGTCCAGTTGTTCAATACCGTTTCAAACAGACTGCTAAACGACAACTATACAAACCAGGAATGCTACCATATAACTTAAGACTAAAAATTGGCTCACCTATAATCAAGCTGCGGTGAAATTATTTGCGAAATCTGACAGACTTACCAACACCGCGTTATCAAATCTCTGAATGGTTCCAGGCTCCTCGGGGAGGTATGCAGATCTGAGGTCAATAATTGCTTAGTCTGATGAAGTGATAAACAATAACCTTTTTTCATTTAAAATGTAGTGCTTATAAGGATTTGAAGTAACATGAAAATATTTGTAACATAAGTAATGCATGTGGACTTTTTGTAGATCAAAAGAAAAAATCAATTCAAAATAATTTTCGCATTAAAATGCTGAAGGTTAAGTTGAATAACAACAAATATTATAACTCAGCTGATCCACGAAAATTAATTGCAAGGGGAAACAACGTTCGCCGGGTCAGCTAGTATGATATATATGTTATATAAAGACATGTAGGAACACAAACAAAACTAATTTAATAAATTCACGTTGCTCAAAAACTGATAGACTGAGTTTCATTGCAATAAGCATCCCAGTAAAGTACAAAATCATCTGTCATCAACGACATTATCAAGACATGAAGATTTAACTGAAGACTGATTCGAAAATATCTTTTCGAATATTATCTTCAATCTTATTATCTTGCGTACATATTTCGAAAAGTGGATGTATTTAATGCCACTTATATATCATCTGCATTAAAATAAAAATGTGCGATTTTGGTCATTATTTATATAGGCTTATCAAACGCAGATCAAAGCTCTTTGCAACTAGTTATAGTAGTAACAAATATTATAATGTGCATACCTACATTTTAAAATAAATGGAATAAATAAAATTATTTTTTACAGTTAATTTAGTGACACGAACTTGGTCATCGGACAATCTTGAAGATTATGTCATCAAAGATCTTATATAACGAAGTAAAATTAAAACAGAGCTTTCACTCGAAGGAATTCATAATAACCGTCATCGTTTTCTGCAATTTAATCACGATAATACATACAAATCTGACATTGAAGTCATTCAATACCTTCACTCAATCTAAGTCCTATAGCTTAATTGATTCGTATCGTAGAGTTGATCTATAGTAAAGTATTTTATTTTAGACTACACTTTGCTATTTTACGAATATCTGAATAAACCAAATATATCCTCTTAACATTACATATCTCGAAAAGAGTTTTCAAAGTTTTGACTCCTTCACTGTTCTACAAATATCTTCACAATCTTAATATCATATCGTAGAGCTGATCTATTGTAGAATTTTATATATTAAACTACACTTCGCTATTTTACGAATACTCGAATAAACCAAATATATTCCACTGTTCTACAAATATCTTCACAATCTCAATATACTCTCTCCACTCCATATATGTAAGTCTATAAAAAGAAAAACGAAACTGTAATGGAATACTTGAAGTTTTCAGCTTTTAATCATTTTTAACCACTGAACAAATTAGAACGGATATTAGTACATATTGTCATATATTTTCGTTTCTTAAATTTTTAAATTTTTCACTTATTTTATTTATTTTTTAGAAATGTTATAGAATTTGAAACTCCATTTTTTTTTTTGGTGATGAAATTATTCCAATAAAGTGAAAATTGGTAATTTAACCTGTTGCTACCTAAGACATCCACCCATACATGTAGACATTTTTATAGAAATGAAAAATTATTTTTCAGTACTATACTGAATAAATCCATTTCGCGCTAGAAAGAAGGTCGTTTGTAAAATAAGACATCATGCAATTTAAATGTAATTCGATTCTTTGTTTAATGGTTTCGTTGACTTGAATGTCTGCAAGGACTCATGTATATCAAGCATTGAAGGAATATGAATTCAAATATTCAACGACAGACAATTTTAGAGGAAAATTTCCAAAGGACGATATAAGAAGGAGAGCTTATTTATTTGAATTTCCAATTGGCAAGTTCATGCATCAATGTCAGATGCCTGCACTTTCAAGTGTTTTAATTTTATGGCTTTCCTTCGTCGCCGCTCACCACAGCGCGTTCCAAATTAAGTGCTCATATTGCAAGAATCAAGAGCTGAGAATTTTCTTGAGAATTTCATACAAGTCACATTATGTAAATGAATAACGTGCTGTGTGTGCTCTACGGTTCCGTGAATATTGTGCAGTGTGCATTGTTTTGTAGAAAGTCCACTGGCACCCATTGAGGACGCCTTGCACATACGATTTTCTACAGTTGAGTGGAAGTGTGAATACGCCACTGAGCTGGTGCTTGTAAAGTTTTTACGAGAAAAGGATTTGCAAGAAATAAAATTCATGCCCTCCACTTGCATATAATTGCAAACAATAAATATAAACAAAAAAATTATTGATTGGCACGGATAAACACACAGAACGGAACCAAATGGACGCAGTTAAACGACAACAAGAAATAGCACTTAAGCGTTGCATTATACTCTTATCTGAGGCCCTTTGTGTTTTCATAAAGGAAAAGCTATTAGCCACTACAGCTGCTCATAAATGATAATTAAAATACTATAACAACTTTTAGCAAGGAAGCAAGGTTAGCTTAACACTGAATTTAATTCACGGTCACGATGTGAGGGTGTAAGGATTCAAATTACAATCTTTATGAAACGATAAAGTATTTTTTAATTTGTAAAATACTTGAATTCAGTCGTTTCTATTTCGGCTCATCTGACTTTTAATAAAGTCAGAAAGTGAAGGGAGCACTTATTGACAAACATTCTTGACATTTCAGAAAGTGTGTATGACATACTTCATTATTTTGTTAAATAATTAAATTTTTGTTGTTTTTGTTGTTTTTGCTGTAACAACAAAATTTTTAAGAAAATTTTTAATAGACTGAAGAGCATACTTAAGATATACAGCACAAGTCTAATTATCTATTGGAGAGTATCACATAACTCTTAACGCTGCATTCGGGTTCTTGATATGAAATCAAAGTCGCAAGGACATAACTAACACAAAAACATAGAATTTAATTTTAACCTCCGTTTTGACGAAAGAAACTAAATATTTAATATAAACTATTGTTTTCAATAGAGAAGTATTTAGAATAAATACCTCTCTATGAATGAAATTCAATATTTAAACGAAATCTTAGACACAAGTGTATTTTATTTAAGTTTACTATCGCAACCAAAAAAACATTTTAGATTTAGATTCTAGATTTCAAAAAACGGGTTGGGAGCTTGTCACCACGTTACTGCATCCTTTGAAGATTATTGTGGCATATCCACTTTAGTTCCATAGACGACTAGCAGTTAAGTACGCCATTATATCCTTTGGAGAGATGTTGCCTAATTCCGTTATAAGTGAATAGGCAGTGGATATGTACCGTAGCCTGAGTCTGGCGAGTCTATCACAGTGACACAGAATATGTTATGTTGTCTCTAGTAATACTTAGGTTCGGTAGATGCTTTGTGAGAAACCCTGTGACAAGTCGGATGCCATTTCTGTTCAGCATAAGTAGCTCCCTAGTTCTGGCTATTGATAGATATGAATTCTTTAGCTTGTCTGCGGGTAAGTGCATTATCCCAATCAGTCAGAGCTGCACTTTTCCATCACTCATTAACTCTCAATATTATCTCACCATTGAAGTAGGTAATTTTGATATATACACATTAATTTTCGATTCCACTACTATAATAATATCTTCATCACACATGAAGAAATTTCCATTCCCAAAAAGGTCCTCTCTGATTCCAATGTTATTTTCTTTTTTAGTTCAAATGTTAAAGGATCTTATATTATATTATATTTTATGTACATACTATTTGCTATAATTATTTTAACTTACCTTAGATGGTCGATCTATTTGTCCGAGAAAGAATGTCAGCAATGATATGATAATAAAATTAACACCTCCAGCAAAATCGGTAAGTTTATCCATATGCAGAATGGAATTAATTAGAAAAAATAGAATTTGCATGCTAACAGTTACAATTGCACTAATGCAGTAATGATCATAATCTAATATGTTCACTGCCATATTTCTACAAGTAACTTAATTTGTTTTTTATTTAAATTTCTTTACTCATTTAATGTACTCGTAACTAACAAACATTCCATTGAGGAATGGAATCACACTTAGCTCAGCAGGTACAAGTTAAATTTGCATATTTTTTATCAGAATTTTCACATTTCACATTGTCGTTTTTTATTGTTCTCAGACAGATTTATTTTGGAACAATAGATATTTGAATCATTCATACACTTTGCTCCAGTGATTTGACATTCGTCAAAGGAACACTGTTGGCTCCATGCCAAAACATCTTTTAACAAATGTGCCAGCTTCTCATACGAGAATTTTTAATCTCTCTTGGCATTAATTGAAAGCTTAGCATTTTATTTTTCTCTTTATGGCATATTAAAAGCAATTCACTTGTCGCTCCTCACTTCATGTACGCGACATTCTACCATCGAGCATCTTTCTTTACATACATTCACTGATAGAAGAATGCTGAACACTGAACGTTAAACATCCAAGCAGTTGTAATTTATCCTCGAATGTGCTGGATAATTGTCGAAGTTTATTGATGTTTTTCTATTTTTCACAGAATTTATTTTTAGTCTTTAGTCTTTTGTTTGGTTTTCTTTTATACGCAATACTTTTATTTTTTATTTATACGAAATAACGCATGGGTTTCCCCGAACTCCACACAATTTTAAACAATTTCGATAGCAATTCAATGTCATTTTCACTATTAATAATAGAACGAAATCAATAAAATAATTGCTTTATAAATTTTTTATTAGTTTAAATGTGAAATAGTAATACAACAATTCAACTTTATACAGTAGCTTAATAAAAAATTCGAACAAGTGTTTACTTTCCCCTACCTAACACCATAATTTAATGTTACTTATAAAGCGGATTACTACAATAGGTATACTCATTTTTGATAAATAAAATTACTTATATCACCTCAACCAGTTTATTGTATTTAAAAATTCATATAAATCACATATTACAAAATTCTTTATCTGATCAAGGTCTTCAATCAAAAGTTTTCCAAGAATTGTAACAATTGGCTTCCCAGATAACGGATCAGTAGAGCTACATTGGATAAAGAATATTCCTTTTGAAAAGCCTGTGTAACAAACAAAAGATTATAGACTTTTCAAAGTACCATGGTACATTAGGACGAATAACATCCTCAGGGACCTCAAGATTGATCCAATCAAAAAAATATATAAATGATAGAGCCGTGTAATTATTTACGAAAACTGACAAGCTTACCAACACCGCTTTTTCGAATCTCAGAATGATTACAGGCTACTCGGGAAGGTATGCAGCTCTGAGGTTAATTACTGCTTAGTCTGATGAAGTGATAAACAATAATCCAGAGGGGTTATAAAGAAACCACACAGTTAATAGAGAGTAAAAGTGTACAAGTACACTGACTCAACTAGCCTCAACATAATAATAAAAATTTCATTAAACCGGAAATTTGATTTTGATTTCCGCACACAACTACTGGCAACACACACTGAAATAAACACCATATTTGCAAATACTGATTAGTTCATGGACCCCAAGGCAATAACTGGTAGAATTCATGCATCTAGATATCTAAGGAGGATTATATCTACTGAACTCATTTATAGATGCAACGCCAAGTAGGAATCCATGTATAAGTTGTGTGTTAATTTCCAAACAGCCTTTTTATTTAATTTAGAAGTGGATGTTGTTTCCCTATGAAATTCATAAGTGTTACATTGCCACTGTTCTCGTTTCGATAAATAATGTCGGAATAGCCTTATCACTAACTGATGTAATAATTTACCTCTTGTGATATATCTCACATTTTCTAAAAAATATTATACTGTTCTGTGTACGATTTCCATTTTTTGATGTAATTTTTAATTGTTGCTTTGACAACAGAAATAGCTTTCAATTCAAGAATTTGAGGATTCAAAAAGTATATAGAGCTTTTGAATGATTTAACCATGTAAATGTAACCATAAAAATTCACTATAGAATCTCAATTAATTCTATTTTAATTTGGTTTAATTCAAACCAAATCTTCTACTCCACGGTGAGGTGAAGATGCGAGGAATGTGATAACAATTCGGCGAAAAATCGCTAATTGAGGGACATGAAAGGTATCTAATGACCTGCCACTGCAACCAACCAACCAATTAACAATAAATGAAATTGCAAAGTGTAAAACGTAGGGATTGTATATATGTAATTAATAAACACATCTTTGCACATAGATATATTTATATAAAAAAATTTACAATATTTAAGAGACTCTTAAAAAAGTCAGGAGACAAAGTTATTATAATACTAATATTTCTGAAAAATTTACCAGCTGCTGTAAATAAGATGAACAGGACATCGAATTTAATGTTTTCAACCATCCAAGCAGGATGAAAAGTATTATTGTGGAATAAACTGAACTCAGCTGTCTGTACATTGCATGTATGTAGTAGTTTTATTTGATGCAGAAACATAATTTCATGACCACATATTTTATGTACTCATACATTATCATACACCATCACATATTATCCTTTTATGGTAGCTCAACTTCCAACGCCCACTTTGGATTAACGTCGGAAATAGCATTAAATTGTTATGAGTGTTAAAGTTCTGTGATGAAACTTTTTATATTTTTATAGATGCACAATCTGAGCCAACAAACAAAAATGTGGAAATTAAATACAACTGCTCGGAAACTCGTAAACACCACCAGGAGCAGTGGTCGTATTTTGCTCATTAAAATATGGTTTCACTGCGAAATTAAATATAACCCCTCTGTTCCTTGGGGATCAAGGAACGCTTCGTGTATAAAATTATTAAATTTCAGTTCTTTGGTTTCTGTTATTATTATTGTTATTGCACTTTATATGAGCATTAAAAATCATAGTTAATTTGAGGTTTTAGTTACAATCTTCTATTAGTTAAAGGAGAAACTCTCGTTGGTATCCTCCGTGGAGGAGAACAAAGGTCTTGCGCGTGTGTTTGCAATATAAAACAATGGCAAAAAAATATATTTTGTCACTTTGTGTTATTGTTGTTGACTTTCATTTCAAGATATTTTACTTAGTACGTGTCCTTCTATGTAATTACGAACAGCAAGGATTTCCTTCCGACCTTCACCAGAGGCGAACACACAACAAAAAAGCAAAGAGGAAATGTTCGTTTTTTCCAGTTTGATTTATAGTGAAAACGGTAAGGGAATATTTTATACACTTCTGAATTTAATATGTATTTGATGTGGTTTAGCTTATTTTGAACACTCAAGCGGATGTAGATACCAGATATTTTCCCTGAAAAAACCACATCGCAAACTTGTAGCATCGCAAACTAAATTCCCATTTTTCAACTTCAGCTATAAATTAATTGTAAATGTTGAAACTTTTAAATGAACAATCTATATAAAAGTTGTAATAAATTTTAAAATTTGTTTATAAATTTGTAATAATGATGACTCTATATTAAACTCTTTTTCTCTATTGCTAAATAAAGCTCAATGTAGTAAATGCTAAGTAAATAAACTTCGCAAGCTAATATAAGACTAGGCATTATTATTATTAGAACATTACTCTAGTTCTAAAGTAACAATTGTAGCAAAAAAAACCAACTGAAATTAATTATCAACTAACTATCAGAGATCAGAGAGCCAATTATCAATCAGTAACGACAAGTATCTTTCAGTAAAAGTTCAAATCACCTTTGTTCAACCTCGGCGGTGATGTTTAGTTATATGTGTATCATAGTAGTAGATTTTCTATCAAAGACCAGAGAGACTATTATCAATCAGTAAGGCAAGTATCTCTTAGTTAAAGTTGAACCTTTTTCAACCTCGGCGGTGATGTTAATAAGTGTATTATAATAGTAGATTTTTCGCATTATTCTAAATGTACTTAATACTGCGATATACTAAATGTTAAGTTATAAATAATCATGGCTTATGTCAACTTTATGTCATACAATAGCTTATGTCATATAATTTTAAATTTTTAACCGACTTTGCAAAGAAGCTGAACTATGAAAAGTGTTTTAAAAGTTGAAGAAAGTCTTGATATATCTGCTTATTGCTTCTTATTTATTGATTATTAATTTTAATCATTTATTTTTTCACAATATCTTGCCAGCCTTATTAAACCTTACAATAAAAGCGAACGAAACTGAATAATGCTGGTATATCACTGAAATAAGAATATTCACCACCCCCGCAGTTGTCGGAAAGACAAAAGGCAGCAATCATGTATAATCCATTATTCCAGCTTTGAGCAGGAAACAACGTGTGACATATAAACTAAATGAACAAACAAATACGAAGAAATATCTTGTGACGTTGCGGTGAACTTGAATTTTTTCTTATTATCAAATGTCAACAAATATGAGAGATTTTCTGTATATTTTAATATGTAATCAGAAACACTTACTGCTTGAGGGGTATAACCGCTACTGAATTACACCAAAATACAGAAAGTCTTTGAGTACAAAGCAAGTGAAATATTAATTATACTATTCATACGACGAGTGATAGTGTTACTCAAAAGATGAATCAGTGTAGGCATTTACTTTTTTGGTTCTATTTATTCGTTTCTACATTGATTAGTCTTTGTTTTTTAAATAAAATAATAAAATTTAGCACAGTCAGTTTATAGTATAGGTGTGATTTCATCCCAATTGGCCGCTATGTCATCTAACCATCATATAAATTGAACAAGTACTGTATTTACGTAACATGACCTATGTGTTATTTTTCAGTTCCTAAAGCTCAAGTTACAACTATAACGAAAGTTTTTTCGATAAATTCGATAAGTTATAAAAAATGTCAAACAAAATTTTAATTAGTTAATTATTATGTTGCGGCTAGTTGAGTCAGTGCACCTGAGCACTTTTACTCTCTATTAACTGAAAGGTTTCTTCAAAACCCCTCTTTGCGCCTTGAATGGATTATTGTTTATCACTTCATCAGACTAAGCAATAATTGACCTCAGATCTGCATATCTCCCCGAGGAGCCAGT